CCAGATGGAATGAAACATAACATCCCAGATATGAATGGAAATTAAGAAGAATTTAGTGATTCCAACTGATTATTGATAACGCTTAATGTTCCAATTTTGTATCAATTCTGTCTTCGATCCTTATTGCCTCTGCTTTGAGAGTCACCGCTATCATTAAGCAGCACATCAAAGACATTACTTCATACAAATTAATTTGTGCATGTAAGAGGTATTTCTCCTTTGTTGTGATCAGTGCTGGGGTGGTAAATGACAAAAACCCCAAAACAAAACAAAACGTTGCTACACATATTACATGGAGCACTTAAAATTAATTTGAATTAGTACAGTACTGCAGTATTTACTCCTAGAAGAAAGTAACTCATTGTACTAGTCATTACAAAACTTTAATGTTAATGGGGTCAGCTCTCAGCTGCAGCGTCACTCTGGGCTCTTGGCTAGCTTAGCATTAGCATGCTGACTGCACAGGTGCTTGCAGAGTCATAGTTGTGTTAGCAGCCGTTTTGTCCTGGATCCAGTTTCTACTTTACCATCATGTTCTCATCCTTTTGTGCAATAAAAATAAATGTAATGTCCATAATCATGTTGCAGAGTGCGCCGCTATTTCACTCCTCTCACACGCAAACTAAAATCACCTGATTGTAGTGCAAGAACAGTGGGATCAATAACCAGACAGACTAACAATTGAATTACTTGAATTGGATTACCAGGAACCAGTTCTTGAGGACAGCCAGTGCCCAGCAGTCCAGGTCCTTGGATTCCCGTCCCTAACCCACTCTGCTACTTAACTGACCAGATCAATATGCCAGTAGTTTGACTGACCTGATGCTATACTCTGGTTAAAAAGCATTCCTTTACTTTTTCAAGCAGTAAATACTGTTAAAACAAGGCTTAAAAGTAGGAATGTCAGTCAGAAAAACACAGAAAGTTTACACCTCTTGTCAGTGCTGATGATGACTGACATCAGCTGTTGAAAATACGAGAGAAATGCAGAAATGTTGGCTGGATCCTCACAGTTAACAGATAAATCAACTCTCATTAAAAATCAGCTACAAGGAAAAAGGCCACAAATGAATACAGAGAGAATACAGACCCTACTCCACAAGTTAGCCCATGAACAGAGAAAGTCCTGTAAATTCACAGTAACTGCCGTCTCCTTACACACTTATACAGACTGTATATAACTCCAGCCATGTTGATGGGTTGCCTATATTGGCTGGAAATATTCATTTCCAGGGAAAGGACACAGGCAGATGATGCTTACAGGATGTGATGTGACAACACTAATGAAATATTGATGTGTCATATTTGTCCAAGGCGTATTTCATTGTTATGGAAAAAGAGAATATCAAAATCATGATGACCAATTGGAGTGGTGATTTCTATGACTTTGTGTATATAATTTGGAATTTTGTACAAATGTAGGCCAATAAGGAATATATGATATCATTTCATTCTTCAAAGGTTTCTTTGCATGATGCACAAACAGACACAATTGAAAGGTACAAATGTGCATGACACGAATTCAAACGTGGTGCAGATGTGTGTCACAGGCTGATCTGGCTGTAGGCTGTGGCACGTGGCCAGAGGTGGCGCTGGTTGACTCGAGTCCATGTTAGTGCACAAAGTAAACTGCTCGCTGTAGTTGTGGAGCAAAAACGCTGAAACCGGAGAAATAAAACGATAACGGCGACAAGAGTCTGTCCCGTGAACAACATCGGCGTGGCGTTAATTGTTTGCTGTTTTCGCGATCGCGTCGCACATGAGGACATAACCAAGTGGTACATAAGTACACTTTTCTTACTTAAGTCTCCAAAAAGTCCTCACAATCAGAAACGTTGTTAGCAGAGCTGCTCTGGGCAGCGTTATGGCATAATAATTTTAAGGGAGAATAAAAAGTCGACACACATATCTCATTCCTGACGGAGGACTCTACCACTACACTTCTCCAGTCCATTCACAGAGTCGTTGCATGGTAAGACATGGATAGAGAGTGGGCGGAGCCTTTTACCGTCATTTTATTACGACGCAAAGTACAAACACCTGTGGACACACAATCCAACACCCCCACTTGTACACAGGTTGGGGAAAAACAATCCTCCGAAAAAACATCTTATATTCCAAACACAAATACAGAGAATTTGTCTAACTTAGACTTTGAAACTGGTTTCGTCATCTGTTCATTTTCACACTCTTTCACATCCGTGATATAATCACTCAAATAATCAGGTCTCTTTCTGATTGTGGATGGATAACGTGTAGCTCCAGCATCTACTTTATCATCAGTTTTAACCTCGGACTCAGTTTGACTGCTTTCACTACCATCTGGAATATCCTCATCCTTCGTCTGTTTGGGTTCACCATCTTTTCTGGATTCATAAACCTCATCTTCATACATCTGATCACTCTGTGTTTGTTGATCCATTGTCGCGGGATTTAGTATTTTTATCAATCTGTGCTTTTCAACTTTCCCGGTTTTTGGGAAATAGATCAAATATGCTGGACTATTTTTGTCATATCCCAAGAAAACACCTTTGTCGCATCTTGGATCCAGCTTTCCCCTATTTTGTTTATAAGCATAGCAGAATGATCCGAATTTCTTCATTCTAGAAAGATCAGGTCTTTTTCCAGTTAACATCTTATACGCTGTCTGACCTGTGCGTTTGTTAAAACACCAGTTCCGAATCACTCCCGCGGTTTGTACTGCATATGGCCATAAAGACTTTGGTAATTCGCTCTCAACTAACATGCATCTCGCCATGTCAAAAAGTGTACGCCAGTTCCTCTCTGCTGTTCCGTTTTGATGAGGCGAATATGGCGCCGAAGTTTCCTGCCTAATGCCGTGTCTACTTAATAAATCTCTGAACTGTCTGCTTGTAAATTCAGTTCCATTATCAGAACGAAAGCACTTGATTTTCCCATATGACGCCACCTCTGCAATAAATCTTTCAGTTGCTTGTGTTGTATCACTTTTGTGTTTCAGATTATATACAAATGTTGCACCTGAATAATCATCAACAAACGACAAAACATACTTAAACCCTTCTTTAGAGTTTGGCGTAATCGGACCAGCTAAATCCGTATGTACCAACTCTAATGCTGCCCTGGCCTTTTCATCTGGTTCTTGGTTCCTAGTTTGAGTAAACTTCCCTTGTATACAGGCTTCACATTGCATGTTTTTGTTGATTTTACCCTTAATTTCCATTCCATCAACGACATTTTGCAGATTTTGAACATCCTCATAATTACAGTGTCCTAGAATTTCATGCCACGTTTGCATATCAAAACATCCATTACATTTCTCTTCAAACTCTTGCACAGTGTTTATAAAGAACAGTCTCTCGTGTTCATATATAGGGAATTTTGTTCCATCAACATGTTTAAGAAAACTGTCCCCGTGTTTGAAAACCACAGTGGCTCCGTTACTAGTAGCTGCTTTTACTGACAAAATGTCCTGTGGAAACGATGGAATGTAGAGTGCTTGTTTCAATGTTACCTTGTGACTGCGTCCTTTACTGTCAATCATACTTCTCTCAGCATCTCCTCGCCGCTTTGCAGCTCCTCTGCTCCGCCTTCCGTCAGCCAACTCTACACACAATGAGCCTCGGGTCGAAATGTGTCATCAAAAGTCTTAAAACTCTCGATCTTCGTAAAGATATGTGACGTCGCTCCCGTATCCACCAGTAGCTGGTTATTCAGCATCTCTTGGCCGCCGTCCGGGACCCTCTGGGGTTCGGAGCCCATCCTGAACGCGTAGTCCTTCTCCACAACCCCTCTCGCTTCATCCCGTCTTAGCTTCCTTCTACAGGTCGCATCTTTGTGTGTACTACTCCGGCAAAAACTGCACCATACTCTGGATCGGCACGTTCTTGCAGTGTGTCCCTTTAGTCCACATTTAAAACACACAATCTCATTATTCTTTGATCTTCGGTCATCTGCTCGCCATGAAGTAGAATCCTGGTCTAATTGCACTTTTGTCCTCATTACGTTGTCATCAGTTACAGCCGCACGCATTCTCTCGGTTTCTTCATAACTTCTGAGTTTTACTTTAAACTCTGAAAATGTGATTTTTGCTTCGCTCTGTGTAACGTGCACAATCAGGGTTTAAACGTCTCTGGTAGACCTCTCATTATCATTGCGATCAGAAGTCCATCAGTTAATGACTCACCCGCATTTTTTAACGCTGTGATAATTGCTTCTGCTCGGATAATATAGTCCGTCACACTTTCATTCTTTTCATTTGTGAGAGAAGTAAGTTCGGTGTACAGACTTATGATCCTTGGCTTGCCCACTCCTGCATAATGACCTCTCAAAATTTTTAGGGCTTTCCGTCCGTCATCAACTGCATCTCTCATAACTAACGATAAACTTTTGTCATCCAGAAATTGTATCAACTCTGCATATGCTTCTGCATTTTTGTCATCATCTTCACCATCGGCTTCTTCATCACCCTCAGCCTTTAAGATGACATCTTTCAAACCTTGTAGTCTGAGATGACCAAGGAACTTCGTTTCCCATATCTCATATTTCCTTTCATCTCCATCAAACTGCAAACGGGAATATCGACTGCCCGACTCTGCCGTGCGTCTGCTCATGATGCACAAAAACGCTTACTCACTCAATCGTGCCAAACTTTTAACACCTGCCGGTAACCTGCGGCTTTCCAGGAAACGCTGCCCTTCCTTTGGCAGTTACAGGATCTCTTTCCTGCTGCTCTGGGCCCATAACCTGTTAGCAGAGCTGCTCTGGGCAGCGTTATGGCATAATAATCTTAAGGGAGAATAAAAAGTCGACACACATATCTCATTCCTGACGGAGGACTCTACCACTACACTTCTCCAGTGCATTCACAGAGTCGTGGCATGGTAAGACCTGGATGGGAAGTGGGCGGAGCCTTTTACCGTCATTTTATTACGACGCAAAGTACAAACACCTGTGGACACACAATCCAACAAACGTCCCGCAGAGCTGTGATCAGGATCCTCCCTCAGAGGGACACTCACCTGTCCTGTGCAGCTTGATTTGGGGTTTCCAGGTGATATCCAGCAGTCTGCGCTGACGGTCGATCTCTTCCTCGTACTGGACGATCGTTTTTTCAAACTCCAAGAATATTTGTTCAGCAGCAGCAGTTAGTCGCTCGTTGATGAACTCTCTCAGATACTGAACTGAAGGCATCGTTGCTGCCGCAGCTCACACACTCAGCTCACACACGTGGGACGGTAATGACGCCTTTGTTTGTTTACTTCCGCCTGTGTCACGCGGTGAGGTTCCGGCAGTACACGAGTGTTGCCTTTAGTTCCTTTAACATCTCAGTTTGTTGCAGTAAATGAATAAATGATTGTGAGCAGCAAGGCTGCAGTGAGAAGAGAAAACAGATCCATGAATGACTGAAGCTCCATGCAGGATGTGGAATAAAAACAAAGGAAGTTATTTTGACTGTTTAGCTTTCAGTGCTGACTTTCATTTAATTTTTAATACACAACTGAACAAATCCATCATACTCATACAAAAATATCAAAGACAAAAGAGCAGAAACTGCAGCAGCTTCTTTTTCGGCTGCTGTATCAGATAAAAGGAGCAAAATCTCCTTCATCTGTGTCACTGCGTTAGTTTTCAGGTCTTTCAAATCTGACTCAGTTTTCTCAGTGTTACACTTATTATTACACAAACTGTAAATGTTTATTTTTTACAGATTTACATAAATGTAACGTTTTATTTTCAAAGTGGAGCCCAGACGTGAGTGTTTAGTGGATGTTCTTTGGCTCAGACACCACAGAGAGAAGAACCAGATCCTCTGTGTGAACAAAGTTGAAGCAGGAAAACTTTAAAAGCAGCATCACATCACATGAGAGCAAAAGCAGCTCCTCCTCCTGACTGCAGAAACCTGTCTGACTCCAGCTGTGAACATCAGACCACTCACAGCTCATAACTCCAAAGACATGTTGCTGCACCTCTTTTTGCTTCTATCTCACATTATAGGTGAGTTTAAGAACAGGGATTAAAGTTTAGTTGAAGCTGCTGCATTAAGCAGATATACAGACTGCATTTCACTACTTTTCTTCTTTCTTTTTCCAGGACTAACAGCTGGAGACTCAATCACTCCTCAACAACCTGAAGTCACTAAAACAGAAGGAAAATCTGTCAAACTCACATGTAGCTATGAGACGAGTGTTAGTGATCCTTGGCTTTATTGGTACAGACATGATTCTGACCTTCAGGCTCCTCAGTTTATTCTCAGGAAAGGAGCAAAACGCAGCACAAGTGATTATATTCCAATAATCGATATGGATCCCAAACATCACCAACAACAACTAATCTGACCATAGCAGCCCTAACCCTGGCAGACACAGCTCTCTACTACTGTGCTCTAGAAACACAGTGATACAAAGTGTAGAAGAGGCTGTACAAAAACCTGAACACAGATATCTGACTACTCTTCAAAGAGGAGGGAAGTGGTATTCAAAGCACAGCTTCATATCAGATGGATTCTGCTAATTCCTGTTTTATCAGAGTCACTGTGGTTACAGCTGCTAATGAAACACTGTGGGAGGATTCACATGAGCAGCAAATCCACATCAACCACAAACCAACTGCAGGAACGTTCAAATGTGATGTTTGACGTTTAGAGTTTTATTGTCATATGCAGATAAACAGTGTAGCCACATTTACCTATAAGGAAATTCTTTGGCTCATGCTCGTCAGCTTTACATGAACATATAGAAGTGTGCAATGGAGAAAATAACAATTACAATAATAATGATTAGAAGAAGAATAACAAAATACTAAAATATTAAATATTTAGAGAATTTAAGACAATTTTTGGTATTTAGAGTTTGCACCGAAATCGTTGCAATGAGCATTTAAATGTGTAATGTTGTGTCCAGAATGTCAGCAGTTCAAAAGCCTGATGGCTTGTGGGTAGAAACTGTGTCTGCTAGTGCGGGTCTGGATGCTCCTGAACCGCCTGTCGGACGGCAGGAGTGTGAAAAGTCTGTGGCTGGGATCAGAGAGGATCCGCTGCGTCTTCCTCATGCAGCGCCGTTTGTACAGATCCTGCATTGCTGGTGATGCACTGTGCTGATCTCACCACCCTCTGCAGAGCTTTGGGGTCAGGAGTGTTACAGCTGCCGTACCAGGTGGTGGTGCAAACAGTCAGAATACTTTCAATGGTGCTTCTGTAGAAGTTTGTAAGTATTCTGGGGTTCATGCTGAATCTTCTCAGGCGCCGCAGAGAGAAGAGCCGCTGTCTCACTGCTTTTGTGATCACATCAATAAGATGTGACCAGCTCAGATCCTCGCTGATGTTGATGCTTAGGATGATGCCTTTTCATATTACCTTATTGTTCTTTCAAAATAAAGTTCTTCCAAAGAGTGCTGCACATCTTCACACAGATTTAAATTCCACCTTCAGTCGAGCTCCATCCTGGTTTGACCTGCTTTGGTCGAACTGTGCGGTGAAGAACTGAAACTGAACCTTCAGCAAACACTCCTCTGAGGCAGGAATAATCGCACTGACTGGCCTGAAAATGTTTCTGACTCCACCCACTGATGCTGAACTCAACCAATGAGATGATTTCTGTCTGCAGAAGCACAGCCAGCCTGACGTTGAGGAGAAGGACTGCAGCAGAGAGGCTGCATAGTTTCTTCATTCTGCTGTCTGACTAACCCAACAACTAAAGACATGCTGCTTTACCTCATTTTACTTCTCTCTCATATCAGAGGTGAGTGTTAGACAAGAGAAGAAATTTGTTAGAATGGTCAGAAGATCGTTTCTGCTGCCGTTTGTTAGCTTGTAAAAACACCTGATATTCTACATGTAATTCTACTCTCTAAAGCTGCTGATTGTTCTCCTTTAGTCAATCATGTTTATTGATCCATCTCTTCCTCTGCATGTTCTGTTCTTCCTCAGAGTGTAAAGGAGAAGACAAAGTGATCCAGGAACAAGGAGATGTCATTGCTGCTGAAGGAGACACAGTTACACTTGGATGTAACTTTGAAACATCTGCTTCATATTCATATTTGTTCTGGTACAAACAAGAAGTAAATGACTTTCCAAAGTATGTTTTACAGCGTGGAACTACTGGAACAGCAGATAACGCTCAGGAGTTCCCAAAGGACAGATTTGATGCCGAAGTCGACAAGAAAGAAAAATCAGTTCCTCTGAAGATCCAGAAGCTTCAGCTGTCTGACTCTGCTGTGTACTACTGTGCTCTGCAGCCCACAGTGACAGGAAACAGCAAAACTCTGTACAAAAACCTTTGGAGCAAAGACAACAGAATACTCCACAACATCCACTAGAGGGAGCCACACACTGTTAAACCTCTGATTCTTGTGTCATTGGACTGATGACAAAGACAACAGAGAAATGAAGCAGTAAAGATCAGAGACAGAGACAGAGCTGCTGTGGAAGCACAGAACTGTTTGATTGGCTGAGCTATTAAACTGGCCCCGCCCACTGAAGTTGAGCTCATCCAATGACATTATTTGTTGGTCATTGTGCTGCAGTGGAAGAACATTGTTCATGTGCTGTCTGTCTGGCTTTAATAACTCCAAAGACATGTTGCTGCACCTCTTTTTGCTTCTATCTCACATTATAGGTGAGTTTAAGAACAGGGATTAAAGTTTAGTTGAAGCTGCTGCATTAAGCAGATATACAGACTGCATTTCACTACTTTTCTTCTTTCTTTTTCCAGGACTAACAGCTGGAGACTCAATCACTCCTCAACAACCTGAAGTCACTAAAACAGAAGGAGAATCTGTCAAACTCACATGTAGCTATGAGACAGATGCAGGTGGTGCTTTACTTTACTGGTACAGACATGATTCTGACCTTCAGGCTCCTCAGTTTATACTCTGGAAAGGAGCAAAAGACAACAGTGGTGAATATATCCCTGATGATCGATATGAATCAGAAACATCACCTACAACAACTAATCTGACCATAACAGCCCTAACCCTGGCAGACACAGCTCTCTACTACTGTGCTCTAGAAACACAGTGATACAAAGTGTAGAAGAGGCTGTACAAAAACCTGAACACAGATATCTGACTACTCTTCAAAGAGGAGGGAAGTGGTATTCAAAGCACAGCTTCATATCAGATGGATTCTGCTAATTCCTGTTTTATCAGAGTCACTGTGGTTACAGCTGCTAATGAAACACTGTGGGAGGATTCACATGAGCAGCAAATCCACACCAACCACAAACCAGCTGTAGGCTGACCAACCTAAAACAACACAAAAAATTGTGTATATTAATTATTTCATTTTAAGGCTGGCTGGGTGTGGTCTTGCCCCTTGGCTGCAGAGGAGGGGTGGTGCAGCAGGTTCAGAGGCAGTGCCAGGGGAGGCAGCTATCATTAACTGCCTCATCATGCCTTCACTGTTTTTGCAATAGTCTGCTAGCAGTTAGGGAGAGAGCTGAGACTCTGCAAAGATTAAGTGGAAGCAGACAAACAAATCCACTGCAATGAATTGTATGTGTTGTACATATTGTAAATAAAATGATGCTCATTAACAGCATGGACTGTGTGCTGTGCTGAGAGTTGTAACACACAATGAGTCGAGGAACCATTCAGACTGTTTCACTAACTTGGGAGTAGCGAGAAAGACAATAACCAAGAAATTCATGAACAAATGTTCAAAAGGAAACAGGAATCAGTGACTCATCCTTGATTTTAATGCTTTTCAATCTACAGCGCACCGCCATTAGTAACAAAGCTTCCACTGTGGCTGACCTAAAACATTTAAACCCTACAGAGCTGGACAATAAAATCACATTGCTCCATCTTAGGAATCATAAAGTTTCTCAGTAATATTAAACCCGATTCTTTGATCCCCATGATAGAACAGAGAAGACCCAACTCAGAGTGGTCAAAACATTTATAATTCTTTATTCAATCATCTTCCCTGCACAGCCCAAAGCCAGCTGCAGAATCTCTAACATTAGAAGCTCAAGATGAGTCTCATATGCATGTTATTTTAGTACTTCAGACGTCACACACAGTTTCAACACAAACAACTCCTACTTAGTTCCTTTGTGTCTTACTTCCTGTGCAGCTTGCAATAACTTCCCTTTTCTGAGGTCTGTTGCCAGGGCAACCTGTCACCCTTCATCTGAACTTAGATTCACTCGGTCTGCTCCTCATATACTGCAAAAACATGCAGTTTCCTGTCAGCCTGTGACCTAGTCAAGTCTGGGCCTCTCATAAAACAATCTAATCAGCAAAT